GTACAAAAGCATTTGTTGCTTAGCTCCTGCAGAATTGTGTCGTGCTAAAAGGAAGTTCTAACTTTCTTCTAACTTTTCCAATGAAGATTTTGTGAACACATTCTGAATGGACAGCTGAGACAATTGAGCTGCTGAAGGAACATTTGCAGGTGTTGCTGGGAACAGAAGTGGCTTCCTCAGAAATGATTCCCATGCTATGGTGCTGTTTCTGTTGTCCTCAACAAAAGTCAACTGGAGTGTGTTTTCTATTAAGTTTCTTGTTGTAATGCTTCCTGGACAGCAAGTTTAAGCATTGCTACAGGCTGCTTTCTGGGAATCCACATGCTTATTTAAACCTGTGGGTGTTCAGGAAGAAGCATTCTTCTACAAAAATGCATAAAGATGGAAGTTAACTACTAGAAGCATATTTTGCCTTGCTCAGAAATATGAGAAAAGATGAGCCGAGCAGTCTGAAATCATTGTCAGATCTTCTTCTTCCAGAGGCAAGCAGCAGGGGGAGAAATGCAGATGTAAATGAAATGGAGGTAGGAAGAACCAGGAAAAAATTAGGGCTGTGGAGTAGAACAAGGCTTCCACACAGTGAAAGGTAGGTTGCCAGCTTCTTACTGGAGAGCTGTGTTTAAAGTGTAATGAAGATGGGACCCATGAGGATGGAGAATGGTAATGGACACAAGCATGTGGATCGTTTTCCTTCCCAAAGGGTCAGATGTAGCACGCTCTCCTTTTGGTTTGGGTGCTTTTGCTGCACAGTGCTAGGTGTTGCTGCTTCTAAACCTTGCTTGTGTATGATTTCAGGCAAGTTGGGAATACTTGAATGAGTGATTTAATGAGGAGGTGGCTCTGTCCACTTGTGACTGGTGTAGTCCAGCTCATCGTGGCAAGGTGTTTGGTTGCTCCCTTGCTTTGAAGAGTGCTGCTGGTTCTTGTTCTGCAAGTAGAGGAGCTGTGTGTGTTTACTTTGAGCAGCACTGTGTGTTTCTTCCTGTGTGAATCCAGCTGCTGGTAGGCCTGTTCTGAAGTGTGCTGTTGTGCTATAATTCCCTGTCAAGGGGAATGACTGAAAGGTGTGGGGCCTTTGGAGTGAGTGAAGAATGTTGGTAGGCTGCTGTGGTTTTCTTCTTAAGAACAAATAAATTCATGAGGATGAAGATCAACCTTTAATGTGAAAACAAGGACAGTAAAGCTCAAAAAGAAAACGTAGTACATAGTAAGTATGTAAGTAAACATAGTAAGTTCCCAAGATACAGAAACTGAATAGACTGAGAGGACAATGAGAATATTCATGGCAGTGTTGAGATGAAAAAGGTTGATGGAAATTTGTGGAGTCTTTATACAAAATCTTGATTTCAAAACCAAAATATTCAGGGGGAGAAAAAGTTGCATGCTGTCATTTGAAGTGCCTTGGCTTCAGTCCCTGTGCAGCAAAATATACTTCTGATTTCGTTTGAAATTTTGCATTGTGTGGTAACTGTGAAATAAGTGTTTGCATGTTCCAGTTGGTCTGATGGCAATTGTAAAAGCAAATGGCACTTCTTAACAGCTTCACTGCTGCCTCAGAGCCTCTACTTCTTTACAGTCCTTTTAAGTGCTGCTCTTTCCTGCTTGCAACAATGCGTATTGTAATCTTGCTGCTGGGAGGCCTGGTTCATTTAAGGGAATGCATACTAACTCTTTCCTGTTACGGAAGGCACGACATGAATTTCTGTTTGGAGCGTGACTTGAGGTACAGAGTGTCTCCTGTTTGGAGTGGAACTTGCCTACATGGCGTTATTAATGCTGCAGCAGCCTAAAGGGAGGGAATCCACACAGTTCTTGGGACTCAGATAGAATACAGGACTGTGCTGTATGAATCAGATAGCAACAAAGGAGCTACAGAGGCAACTTAAGTCAGCTGTAGAATTAGAGGCATCATTTAACTCTGTGTACGTGTGCAATTGAGGTAAGCCTTACGTCTGGTGAGCAAATCTAGCCAGACTTGGCAGTGATAACTAACAAGCACTAATGTTTATGGATACAGCTTTTATCAAGGAAATAAGAGTTGCAAGTATATTCAATTTCTGCCCCTCACATGTTGCCATAACTTGTTGCTGTTACCCTTGGATATGCTATTTGTCACTGGCAGCCCAGCTGCTGTCCACGCCTCCTTGCCAGCAGCTTAATGTGATCACATAGACAAAGCCTTTGTGGGCAGCTAAGCTGAGGCTGGTTTTCAAATTTCTTGTAAGTGCAGTAAATGACTTTAAAGGATCTAACTGTCTCAAGCTAACAGTGAAACGCTCAAGTGTGCAATTCCCTATTAAAAGTTGATGTAATTCTCAGTGAAAGAGGTTCTCGCTCTGAATAAAGCAACTCGTATATCCTAGCATTGTCTGTTGTGGTTGTGGTCCTTGCGCTTGAGAGAGGTGTTGGAAAATGGCTCCAGGACTTGGTAGGAAGGGTGTTGAGTACTAAAACTCCCTCTGCCTTGAGTTGAATGTTTTGCATATGTAGACTTCAACTTCATTAGCAGCCTTCCTCCATATATGAGAGCTGGGGAGGAGCAGCTATGGTTGGAACACTTGCCTACTGGGAAAAGGAGATAGATTTGGTTCTGTCCCAAAGCACCGGCATGCATCTGCTTCCTGAAAGGAGGCTCCAGAACAGAGCTCTGTACCAGATGTGAGCCTGAGATGTGCCTTCTTGGTCTCCTTTCCACCTGTACTTAACTGGAATTATTAGGTAAGAACCTCAGCTTTTGCTATAAAGAACCTGTACCTTATGTATGTAGAAAACTGTGACCACATAAGCAGTGCCACATGCCTTCCACATCACTGGGTTGTAATTATGCTTATTTTTAAGCCAGTCAGCTTCTAAGGGGCTTCAGTGCGTGCCCCATTCCAGAATTCTTTCAGTTCTTTGCCCTGCCACGTGGGGAGGCGCTGCCTCTGTTTCATGTGACATGGGTGTGGGTATCAGTGCAAAGAATGCACAGCAGCAAATTCAGACAGCTAAGGTTTGAATACTTCTTCCAGGTAGGTAAAAACAAACGAGCATCTCCTCCAGCTGGATGCACAGCTCTTACAACTGTGGGACAGTAGTAATTGGTAGCATAGTATTGTAAACAACATTTATAGAAGAGCTGCCTTTCTACAAGCATGCTAATGATGCCATCAGGAGCTATGCTGGATCTGTGTATGATGCTGGAGGAGCAAAAATGCTAACATAAGGTTCTGCAGCAGTTAACCTGTTTCTTGGTTAACTTGCATGGGCAGCAGCTGCACACTTCCATTTGCTGTGATGGAGAAAGGCACTGATGAAAGTTACAAATCTGGTGGTTGCTATCATACACTGTAGAACAACACAATAAAGCTTGTTAACAGACTTAATAGTTTTCTTCATGTCAGGTACTAACTACATCATAAATTAATCTATTAATCTACACTCTGAAAAACCCAGGAACTGCTGCAGCTCACTCTAAGCTCCTTCTGTGAATGAATGAGAAGTGACCCCAGGGGAACCTTTGTGCTTAGAGGGCTTCTGAAAGGCACCAGGCAGAAGCAACCAAAGGAGAGCACACACTCTTTTGAGTTGCACAAGGGTGAATGGCAGGGGAAGTATTTGAGACCAGACTCTTGAAAAAAAAAAAAAAGACAGAGGGAACATTACATCCATCAAATGAAAGGGAACAGTGCAGAATAAAGCACAACAGCTCAACTGCAAGCCTGAGCTGTGCGGCATTCTGCTCTGTTTACAGGCAGCTACCACTGTTGTTGGTGTGCACTAGCAAAGAACCTGGCCAGAGCAAGCCATAATAATGAAATTACGCTAAGACTAAAGCAATGATTTACTCTATTTTGTGCTTTTCAGACAAGCTTTTCCAGAAGGATTTGCTACATCTTTTTCCCCACTTTTCAGGAACTTGTGAAACATCATAGGTAAAGTGCCATCTTGTGAAGTGGCAGCTTGCCAACCCTCCCAGGGCTTCTTTCCATATAACCCAGACTGTATTTTAATCATTACAGAGTACGATTTCTAGTTCACAGCTTAAACGTTAACAGCTTCAGTGATACACTTCAGTACACGTGGACTGTGTCATCTGAAGGCTTCTCCTGTATATTATTTCTTCCCCCCTTTCTCCTCCACTGTTCATATCTACTGAAAAAGTTAACAAACCCCCCCTCCCCACTTTCAGTTCCTGTGCATAGAATTGAGCCCTCCAGTAGCACTGCTTGCACTTTGGAGGGCAGAGACAAAATCTTCCACTGCTTACCAAGATGTTGATGACATCTCCCAGGCAATAGCACACGTGCTTGTATGCTCAACACCCACCCCTTCACTGCTCTGAGGTGAGGTTGCATTATTAAACCATACTCCTTGTTGCTGTTTTACATAGACTCGAATCCCTTCTTTCACATGCCTCTGAAAGTCTCCAGGCACACTCTACCATTGCATTTTCACACCAACTAACAGTCAGCTTTTGATTAAAATCAGTACATCAAAAGCAAGGCAGGCTTAGCAAAACAAAGTAGTCCTTTCACCCCAGCATTAATGGAAGCTATTGTGGCCTTGGAAGCTTCAGTGCTCCTAGTAACTGTGCAACAAGACAGCTCACTACTAGTTACAATTCTTACAATTCAAGAACAAAATGAAAGACAGGAGTTGTCACTCCCAGGAGAAGATTGGGACCCTAATGCACCACATTCTGCCTGCTTTGAAGCACCAAGGATGACTCCAGGTTTGCCTAGTGAGAAAACCATACAGTTGTGAAATTGCACCCTCTTACAAATGTTGGTATTTAATAGCTCAGCACGGGTGGCTCCGTGCCTTACATCAGGCCCTCCCCTAAATGAAACGTAAGGCAGAAGTGGGTTAGTGCTGTCCGAGTGCATCAGACAATTTAAGGTGAAGAGCTTGTACTGCAACAGACGGCGCATCTCAGAAGAATCAACTCAGTGCAAGCTCTAGTGCAAATTTATCTCCTGACATAGCCAGAAAAGTGTCTTAAAGATATAGTTAAAGGCTTTTTTTTTTTTTAAACAGTTCTCTTTGGTTAAGGCTGGCAGCTTCCTGAGCTGTCTCAGCTTACAAGTTCACATTAAGGTAGCAGTTGCTATGCTCAAAGCAACCTGTGCTGCCAACAGCAACAGTGATCTCTGAGGATATTTACACACCAAACTGCAAGGTAGAAACATGAGAGATGGCTCGAGGCCACGTAGCAAACTTTCATCATCTGAATTAAACTGAGATCAAACATAGCCTCAGAAAAATGATGACTTCCAACTTTTTGTTCCTGAAAAGAGCATTCAACAAAGGCACTGGGTCTTCTCTGCACTTGGACTGGCAATCACTGGCCTGGACTCAAGATAGACGCTGTTTGGAGGACTCTCTCCATGAAGCTGCAAGGTATTTCGGGCTATCAGCTCCTTAGCCATCAGCACAAATACCTCTTCAATGTTTTGAGCTTCTTTTGCTGATGTCTCCAACACAGCTAGGAGCCCGTGCTTCTCAGCCAGCGTGCAGGCATCTTCAAACAGGACTTGTCGCTTATCCACTGAGTCTGATTTGTTCCCTTAAAAAGAAGGCAAATAGATAACCTGATAATTTAGTCTCTCACACTTTTGTTTCCTTTAAGTCCAATGCATTACTTCAGTTTTGTTAAATAATAGAATTACAATGGAAACTAATTGCTGGAAAAGCAAGATGTGAGCATGTCAGAGCCGCCATCACATTGATCAAAACCATAGCTCATCAAATGAGTTTAAGAAAAGAAGACCCACGAAAAACAGTGGGTATCTAGTTATTTGCTCTAGATAGCAGAGCCAGAGGATTCTTTGAAAGCACATACATGAAAACTACTCAAAATAACAATCAATCTGATAGAAGTTATAAATATACAAAGGTATTTTATTTGAGGTGTTTCAAATAGTTGCAGTACCAGTCCTGGTACGTGCAGTGCCTGGCTTAAATCTACCTTCTTAGCTCCAAGACAATCCTTCATCACATGCAGATCTCGACACCACAGTATGTATAACCTAGCTGCCCTTCCCCTGTAAGTCACTTCTAGCTTTTCCAAAAGGGAACAAATATTATCAGTGAAGCACAAGCCCCCAAAGCTGCCTTAATTGATGTTTGTTTGCCATCTTAAAACCACCCTGCCCTGGCCCTTTCCTCCTCCAGTGCCAGGTGTTTTCCTCCTTCCGTTCCAGATGTGAAAGGCTGAAAACTTTTAACTGTCCCACTGGAAAGGTGTAGAAAATGGCTACAACTAATTCAATGTTTCCTGCTAAGGTAAGTAAAATAGCACCAGAAGAAACTACCACACCAGCTCTTTGACAAAAGCTTGATTGTTACTCATTTCAGAGTTTAAGAGAAAAAAATAAACAAAAAAAGACCCCACCATACACACTAATAGATCTTGTTTTTTGCAGTCATTAAAAGAGTTAGAAAAACCCCATCACCAAGGTTTGTGGGTTGTTGTGGTTCTCCCCTCCCCCTCCCCGCCTCTCTTCCTTCCTTCCTTCCTTCCTCCTCCCAACTCATAAGCAGGTCAGAATTTGTTGTTCTTCCTCTAAGGAAACAAACAGGAACAACCACAACACCAGAAGCACATAGTTTGCTAGAGGCACCAGCAGCAGCTTAAATCCCATGCCTGCTGCCTCCAGGGCTCAGTGCTGCCTACCCTCAAAAGCCAGTTTGGGCTGCTGGGGCTGCATGCATTGCTCTCAGCACTGTGCTGCAGTGGAAAAGGCAGAAGCAGTGGAAAGTAGATAAAGGCTCTATCACTTCAGCACGTCAGGGCTCTCATTTGCAGCTTTTTCCTTGGGGGAGGGAAAGAACAATAACAACCTGAAACCCAAAGGGAAAGAACCATCCAGCTTCCTCTGATCTCCAACCTCAGCAGTTTCTACTCATTCCTTTCCACGATAGGCAAAGTTTCTTGAATGCTAACGGAATAAAGGAGGAAGAGAAATGCGAGCAGATTCTTAGTGCTTTGCAGAAGCCGCGTACAGTCCTACCCAGTCAGAGTCACCTTACAGAGCAACGGAAGGCATTATCACAAGAACAGGGAGGAAAAATGAGAAGGAGGAGTTGTGTTGCTTTGTGCATCCCTCTTCATTTTGAATTATCAAACTGCTGCCTTCCTGCACATCAGGAGCACAGGGTCAGGTTTACTGCCATTCTAACATCAATAGGGTTGCGTTTGCTTGCTAAGCTACTAGCAAGTTCCTTGCATTATTCCAGCAGGAAAGGAATGCGTGAAGAGATTTCAGTGCCTGCAACGGGCCTGGTCATGCCAGGGTCAGGCTGTGACTTTCTTTTTGTTTGAAATCAAACTAATATGTATTTTCATTATTTTAATTAAAACATACTCCCTTTTAATTCATAGGTTCATAGATGCTTTAAGCAGCAGTAGGGAGGTGAGGGGGATTTTACACATCTATTAGAAAAGCTATATAATGTAATATTTAAATTTAGATTCCTACCAATTAACATCATGACCAAGTTTGCAGCACCATACTTTTCAACTTCATGAATCCAGTGAGGAATAGACTCAAATGTGGACCTCCTAGTAAGGTCATAGGCAAGGATGGCTCCATGGGCACTTCTGTAATAGGACTGGGTTATTGTCCGGAAGCGCTCTTGACCAGCTGTGTCCCACACTTGGATCTGCAAGAGAAAGGATTCAAGATGTGAAGACCAGTAGATCCACGCTGGACATGACTCAGGGCAGCCTGGTCTGGTCGTTGGCAACCCTGCACATAGCAGGGGGGGTGAAACTAGATGATCATTGTGGTCCTTTTCAGCCCAGTCCATTCTATGATTCTATGATGATTATATGATCTGAAGAGATATTTGTATGCATACAGACAACCTACACAGACTAAAGAGCAATATGTTAGATTAATGCTGGCATTATAAATAGACCAACATTCCCATAAGTGGGCTGAGAGATAAGGAGCATAGCAGTTTTCAAGTAGGAAGGGGAAAAGCAGATGACCCTGCTGTAAGGCTAGGCAGAGGGAAGGACTCTGCTACCTGACCTTCCATGGGATTGTTTGAGTTGGATGGGACTCTTACAGTCCATCTAGTCCAACTCCCCTGCAATGAACAGGGAAACCCACAGCTACATCAGGGTGCTCAGAGCCTCATCCAGCCTGACCTTGAGTGTCTCCAGGGATGGGGCATCCACCACCTGTCTGGATCACCTCCTCCAGTGCCTTGCCATGCTTACCATAAAACACCGCTTCCTTATGCTCGGTCTAGATCGCCCCTCTTCTCGTTTGAAACCATTTCCCCTCGTCTTATCGCAGCAGACCCCACTAAAAACCCTGTCCCCTTCTTTCTTACATCCCTCTTCACCTGGGGTTCCCCCGGAGCCGCGCTCGTCACGCGGTAATGGAGGCACGGCCGCAGTCCCGCCCCGAGGCACCTCCCAGCCCGCTCCCATCACCCACCTTCACTTTCTTGCCGTCGATATCCATCGAGCGCACGGTGAAGTCCACTCCGATGGTGTTCTGCTGCTTCTCGTAGAACTGCCCCGTCTTGAAGCGGTGCACCACACACGTCTTCCCCACGTTGGAATCCCCTATCAGGATGATCTTAAAGAGGTAATCGAAGGCATCGTCCGTGCTGGAGCTGGAGAACGGCATCCCGCAGCCCGGGCCTGGAATGAGGGGAGAGCACGGGCTGAGGGAGCGCGCCCCGACCCGGGGCTGCCCGCACCTGCAGGGGCAGCCGCGACCCGGACAAAAGCCGCCCCACCTGTACGGCTCACCTGCCGGCCAGGTAGCGCCGCTTTATACCCCGCCCCGCCGCCCCGGGGCCGGCGGGAAACGTAGTCCCAGCCCTTATTCTTCCTCTTCCTCCACCCCTCGGCTTGGGGGCGGCGCTGCTCCCTTTCCCTCCCTTCCCCTCTCTTTCCCTCCGCGCCGGCTGCGAGGCGGGACCCCTGCGAGCCTCCCCGGGGCGGACGCTGAGCGGACTCCCGGACTACAAGTCCCGCCGTGCCCGTGGGCCGCCACCGCCGGAAGAGCCGCCCGAGCCGCCACTTCCTGAGCGCCGCGGCGGTGGGGTACGTGGGGCTGCGGAGCCGCGCCCGGCTTCTGCCCGGTGAATGGCGGCTGGGCGGGGGATGGATTTACGTTGAAGCCTGGGGACGTTCGGGTTGGGTGTAAGGGAACATTTCTTCTCAGAAAGAATGCTGCTGCAGTGGCACAGGCTGCCCAGGGAGGTGGTGCAGTCACCGTCCTGGAGGTGTTCCAGAGCCGGGTGGATGTGGCACTGAGGGACGTGGGCAGTGGGCATGGGGTGATGGGATGGTGGTTGGACTGGGTGATCTCAGTGGTCCTTTGTAACCTTAATGATTCTGTGATTCTATACAAAGATGGAGATCAGATCCAGTACTCAGCCCTACAGGCAAACAGATCTGTGTCTGTGTGTGCTGGCACAAGGATAGCAATAAATCTCTATGCAGGGAGATTGTGCGGGGAAGGAACTTCTCCCTCAGTGTAGCACAAGTGTTGCTGTCCTCTGGAGACCTCTGTTATCTGCTGCAGCATGCAGGAGAGAGAGGAGCAGCAGAGGGCTGCTGGAAAAAAATGGCACTTACTGACATTCATCGGTGCTTGCTGAACGCTTGTGCAGACCAAACAGTGGATGTGAGCACAGAAAGGCCGTGGGTGGTGCATTTCAGCAGTGACATGAAGGACAAGTAGCATTCCAGACTGCTATGCACAGTTGTTGCATCACGAATGTCTCCGTCAGCTCATCCACATCCACATGAATTGGCGGATTGTGACCAGGGAATGGTGTACAGAGCTGAATATTGGCTTCAGTGCATTGGAAATGACAGTGACAACGATGGAATATTGCAAAGTTTGCACAAAGTAGGTCCAATGAATGCTGATGTGGGAACAGAAAGAGCAGCACGTGCAAGTTTGTCAGGACCTATTGAACCAATATGAGGCTGAAGGTGACGCTTTTCTGGATCACATCATTACCGGTGATGAGATGTGGTGTCACCACTGTGAGCTGGAGTCAAAACAACGGTCCAAGGAGTGATGACATACAAATTCCTCGCTGAAGGAAAAGTTCAAGACACAGCCCTCAGTGGATAAAGTGATGTGCACTGTCTTATGGGATAGGAAAAGGGTGATTCTTCTGGATTTTCTGGAACCCAGACAGACCATCAACTCTAATAACTACATCACAGTGCTGACTGAGCTAAGGGCTTAAGCTTCCAGAGTCAGGCCTGAGAAGAAGACAATCTTTCTCTTGCAGCACAGGGGCCATACCAATTTGAAGTCTGTGGAGCACATTGCCAGTCTTGTCTGGACCATCCTACCATACCTATTGTATAGTCCTAATATAGGCCTTTTGTCTTCCATGCATTCAGACCAGTGGAAGGTGAACTGCATGGGTAACAATTTCCTAGCTGCAAGACCATCATAGCAGCTGTGAAACAGTAGGTCACCTCCACAAGTGCAGGTCTTTATGAGCACAATGTGTAGGCATTTGTTCATCGATGGTGAAGTTGCACAGCTAATAATGGTGACTATGTTGAAAAATAATGTTGCTGCTGACAATTTGCTCGATCAAATAAGTGTCCTTGTGCTCTTTGTGTCTGTTGTAGTTTCCATGGAAATAAATAGGAGGCATTACTTTCAGAGCAATTTAGGTATGATGTCTGACCACCCTGTAGTCTACCAAATACGTAAATAGTGCACAGTGATCATCGACATGGGAAGAGAATCATAGAATCATAGAATTACAAGGTTGGAAATGACCTGTAAGTCCTCCTATTAGCACTGCTACCACAAGCTACTAAACCATATCTTGTAGCACTGTATTTTATACCTGTATTTTAATTTGTATCCGTTCTTCTGTTCTCCCTTCCCACCTATTTCTCTTTAAGCAAGAAGACAAAATGACCTAAGCACCGGCCAAACTTTGCTGCTGAGGCAGGAGCAGGGCCATGGCTGTGCCTGGAAGCTCGCGGAGACAGCCTGCAAACAGAGGCCTGATGTCCCATTGCACTCACCATCATATTATTGTGTTCCTGCTGACCTTCTTCAGGTAGGCTGAGTGCCTTTCTGCAGAGAGGTGTTCGTTTCACTGAATTTGGGAGAGGTACAGAGCTTGTCTGAAGAAGGAGAGCAAAAGTAGGGAAGTACTCTTAATTTTGGCTCTGAGCCTTGAAAACAAACTCAAAAGTCAATAGTAACAGCCAGTCTAGGAGTCGTGTGATAGCAAAGTGAAGTGTGCTGTGCCCTTGAGGAATCCAGCCACCAGCAGAGCCCTCACCAAAGGTGAGACTGACTGCCATGAACTCAACCCATGGCAGAAGGGCTGGCCTGGGTGGGTATACAAGGCAGATTCTCCCTCTTTAAAATCAGTATCTGCCCATGATTTTGTGGTTCCTGTTGCTAGCAGTGATCTCTAAAATGTCAATTCTCTGTTACTCAGAGCATATGTCTGAATTTTGAGTCTTACTCTTTCCCACATGATTTGCAGAGACGATTTGGCCAACCTGTGCTTGTGTTTTTTTCTGGCAGTTATTCCTTGCTCCATGCTTCCAGAAAGACATTCAGTAATGTCAAAGTCAGCATTTCAAGCCAGTGGACTCCATCCTGCCTAAACAGCACAACCTTTGAGCTCCGGCCAAATGAGGTAACTAGCAGGTGCAAAGAAAGATGAGTAACTTCCAGCGTGCTTGGGTTGTGCTGCTGAAGAGGCTCTTTTATTTCTTTCTGTAAGGGTTGCTTCTCTGAATATGTGTGGGAACTTCAGATTTCTGAACTGTAGTTTTCTGGATCACCAGCTGGTGTTGAACTCTTTTCTGATGGTTCCCAGAGAAAAAATTGTTAGGAAGTTGGTGTTCTGATGGAGACTGGGACACCTTCCCTGCTGATACAGCCAGCAGAACAGAGAAGGTAAGGGAGGGATAAGGAAAGAACCTGTTTTGAAGTGCCAAAGGCAACACAAGAGAGCAGTGAGTGGGGTTACAGTGCTTTAACATCCTGGCTCTGGCTTTCTGGTGCTGGTGACCATACCATGATTTTATTAGATTTGTACTTTTCAGTCTTTACAGATTTGTAAGTCCTCTAGGGGTTTTATAATGAATTTAAACCTAGTGACAGGAGATTTGATTCTCTTCTCTTTCTAAGACACTTAGTAGCTTGTGGAATTCCAGGAATCTGTAAAAAGTTGAGATATCCTGCTATGAGTAGGTGTTGGTGGCTTCAAGTGGCAAATGTTTTTCAAGGGTTTTATTAGTTTTCTTTGACACATGAGACTTAAGCAGAAGCTGTGTTGGTTGGCCATATCAAAGTTAAGTCTCTTAAACTAAGCAGATGTGTAATTGGTGCTGCCTGGATAAGATGCTCCTCTGGGGAGACAGGATCAAACAAAGACTGTCCATAGTTGAGTTAGTTGCATTTGTAGGCCAGGTTTGGATTGTTTGCTTGTTCTTCTAATGGGGATAAAGTGTGGGGGAAGCATTGTCCTAATAAACTTTATTCATTCTTCAAGTCATCCTCAAAGCTTGCTTTTTTCCAGTGATGTCTCTAATGTTAGTCTGGGGACAATTGAACCTTTTCCTTTGTTTGCTCATACTGAATACAGGTTAACACAAAAATGAAAGAATTAGCAACTGAAGTTCACTGTGCATAGTTTCTATCTAGTCTGTTTCTTCCCTGCCTTCCTTTTGTGTTCTCACTTTTCTGTTTGTGGTCTGTCGTGCCTAATTATGGTTGCTGCCACAAAGGCTTTAAGGGAATTATTCATGTAAAGAAGACAGATAGCTACAGGAGAGGCACTGCACATAAAACAGAATATGCCTTTATTGTATTATTCATTAAGATACTCATCAGTGTTTGCATGTAAGAAACTGTCTAACAGTTGTGTGCTCGTTAGAAGCAGAGTTTGTTTTCCAGTCATTTGTCTTGATCAGGTGGAAGTTGCATTTCTCACTTGGCGTGCTGTTATGTCATTTAGAAGTGAAATAAAATGACAGTGGGCATTTTCTGCAGTGAAGAATGTGAGAATTGTTCTTAATTTGTTAATTAGAGTGTTGGAAGAATAGGAAGTTGCTGGGGACAGATGCTCTTCTGCTTTGGAGTTGGGATTTGCATCAAAAGGAATGTAATGGGCTGTGCTTCTCCACGTTTACCTGTTACAATTTTCTCTCTGTAGCTATGGAACAGCAACCATCTATTTCCAAATGCAGAAGAAGCAACTCTCTTCTTGGGAACATTGGACACTATTTTTTTGTTTTCCTATGCTGTGGTGAGTAAAACTAACTCAGTGGTGCTGAGCTTTGGTTAAATCTGATGCATCTACATTTGGACAGGACCTTCCTGGACTTGCCTAGCACTAATGCAGTTAAAAAGCTTGGTTCAGGAGCAGTTTTTTTTTTCTTTGGTTGTTTTCATTCCATCTATGCCTGTGTCCCTTGTGAACGTGGTTGTTGACAAGTGCAAGAGAAGTAACTGTCACTTCAACATTATACCCCTTTCATGAGTGAGTGGGAGGGGGTAGATTGAGCTCTCCAAAAACTCTTGAGATTTTTAAACGTAAGAAATTGAATGAAAGACTTAGGAAAACAGCTCTCTTCAAATACCAGAAAGGTGATTGCAGTGAGGGTGGAGTTGGTCTCTTGTCAGTGGTGACAGGTGACAGGATGAGGGGAAATGGCCTCAAGTTGCACCAGGGGAGGTTTAGTTTGGATATCAGAAAAAACTTCTTTACAGAAAGGGTTGTTAAGCACTGGAATGGACTCCCCAGGGAGGTGGTTGAGTCACCATCCCTGGATGTGTTTCAAAACCATTTGGATGTGGTGCTCAGGGATGTGATTTAGTGGTAGTTGTTAGGGTAGTATGGATGGATTGCGGTTGGACTTGATGATCTTTAAGGTCTTTTCCAACCTGAGCAATTCTATGATTTTTG